TGCATGTTTTTTATTAAATAATGAACCAATAAAGAGATTATCTTTAAAAGGGGGAAAATCTAAATATTATTTCATTCCTCCTATTTTATTTTATGTGACTTGACATAATATTTAAGAAGAAAATGAATACTTTCAAAATTTGTGGTCTGAAATAATTTTTAGATATTTATGTAGTTGTTAATCATTTCATTGAAGGTAAAAAAGAATTTAAAGATTAAATAATTTTTAATTATAGTTAGATCACTTATTTTTTGAGAAAAAAAAATGTGCAGAAGGAGCACTATTTATAATAATAACGTAAAGATAAAGTATTCTGAAAATAGCAAACATGCACAAACTCTACTGTATATCTCCTTGGTGACCTCCAAGTTAAGCAACATCCCGGTACCTTCCCTTTTTTAGTCACCCTTTACTCTCTCTTTTTTGGGAAAAATAAAATTCAAACACTAATATTAGATTTAGTTTTGAATCTTCTTTGTCAATTTGACTTCATAATTCAGCATTATTGTTGAATAGGCCTCAACTATTGATGGTAGTGAGGAAAAGGTGATAAGTTAGTTATTGTTGTTCCAAGCAATAAATTGAATAACCTATGAAAGCATTAAACACCTTATCCGCTCTCTTACATACATCTTGGGATCAACAATAATGTCTAATTATATAAAAAAAAAATCATGTTGGTACCATCCTCAAGTTTACTCTCTATTCAAAACATTGACTTATAAACCAAATGGCAGTGACTTGAGTTTAAATGTTAGGGGGTCATTTGGTAATTGTTTTGGAGCTAAATTATTTATGTATTAAATTCTGTATAAGTAATATTTTATTTATTTTAAAATAAGTGAATTGTTGGTTTTTTTTTTTATATTTCGAAATAAATGATTTTTTCAAAGTTCAAGTGAGATGTTGAATTTCTTTTTCATTTTACTCTCTCATTTATATTTTCTAGATGATAATTTCAAGAGAATTAATTGCTCACATTTATGATTTTACTTTGAATAATTTATATTTTCAAGAATAGTTTGGCAAAAGTGAAAAGTGACCTTCAAATTATGTCCTAAACTTTTTTACTTAATGGGTGTGCATTGCCTCAACAATTCACTTATTTTGAAATGAAGGGAGTATCATATTTGATAGTATTTTTTTGCTATGTATAAACTCAAAAAATCTAATACGATATTTGATTTGTAATTTTAAAAAATTGTATAACTAATACACATATAAGATAAAGAAATTTATGTATTATTTTATGCATGATCGAAGATAGAATCTCCATAAAATAATACATAAATTCTCTCGCATCATTAGCTATTGACTATTGATCTCAGCTTTTAAGTCGAGTCTATTCCTAATAGACATATAGGGATGTCTCATTAGTTTATTTTGTTTTGCGTTTGAAATGTGTCTTATTTAATCTCATAATTATTTTATTAATTATTATTATAGATAATGAAAATCTTAGTATTTCATTGCCATAATACATAAATATATGCTCTTTAATTTGATCTCGGTTGATATTTATGCCATTTAACTTTAAGTGCACACAAATAAACACTTAAATTTGTATAAAGTTAAACAAGTAGACATACACGTTCTTGTGACATAATTCATATAAAATGTCATATAAAATGTCATGTAGAACTTGAATTGTCGTACAATACGCCAAATAGGACGTATTTCTACTTGTTAAACTCTATAAAATTTAATTGGTTACTTGTGCAAGCACACCAAAGTTAAAAGACATATATAAATGTTAATTAAAACTAAATTAAAAAGTTTATCTTTATACTATACGTAGCTCAATTAGTTGTAAAATATTTTATCTATCAATTAGTAGTAAAATATTTTAGCTATCCGATTCACCAACCAAACGGTCTCATAGTTTATATTTTCTCTATCCCTAATTACTTGTCTATTTTTAAATTGACATATTTATTAAAAAAATAACGATTGACACAATGAAATTATCATTTTAGCCCTATTAACTATGAAGTAGATGAATTAAAAATTAAAGAATTTCAAGAAGTTCTACATTTTTTTCAAAGTAATTAATTGAGGTTATAAAAGGTGAATTTTTTTTTCCTTTCTTGATTTGTCAAAATGGATAAGTAAAAAGGAAAAACTAAAAATGAAAAAAGTAAACAGGTAATTAGGGACGGAGGGAGTAAAAAAAGAGATGAAAAGAAAAACCACGACCCCTCATCACAAATCAACCGTAAGCGAGGTTCATAGTTAGTGGTGGAATCAAAAAATTTACTAAGAGGTTCATAGTTAGTGGTGAAGCCAAGTTGAGGGTCATGTTTATGTTAACAATTACAGCGGGGTAATCTTGGAAATTAACTAATGAAAATAAGTCAAATTGGGTAGTTTTTAACTGTTAACTGAGAGAATAGGTAATTAGTACATTAATTAAAGAGACAAATGTAAGTTAAAATGCAAATCCTAAGGAACCGATCTAGCAGGTTTGTCGCTGCAACTAGTGTCCAAGCTTTACAGCCCGATTCCTCCTCATTTTATTTTTTTTAATTTCTATCATTGGGATTCGTGTACAAATAATAATTAGTTTACAGTTTTTTCTAAAATATCTCTGAAAATCTCCTTATTTTATTTCAATCCCCTTATTTAAATCATTTCTATTTTGGTTCTGCTCCTAACTAATTTTATCATCTTCCACTAAACAGCACGATGATTACAGCTAGGCTTAATATAATTACTGACCAAAAACTAAAATTTAATAATATATTTTTCAAAATCTACCCTTTTAATTTTTTATATGTAAAATTATAAAGTTATTTTTTCAATAATTAATTTCTTCAAATATTTTTCTTCATAGAATAAAAATATTAATTAAGAAAAACTTAAATTAAAAACATTATATAAAATCGGCGTGCATAGTATAAAAGGAGAACAAATATATGCGGGCAAGAAAAACTCAAAATCAATAGGGTAGATATAATAATGGGTACTAATTAATGACAGGAAAGAACTTAACATAATTTGTTCACTCATTAAATAATCCAAATGAAACTCTAAAAAAATAATTAATTATGATAGTTAAGAAAATTATATATAATATAGAGTTAATATTATTTTAAGTCATTTTAATATAAAATTAATAAGTTTCTTTAATAGTGACATATGGATGCATTAAATCCTCTTTTCATATTATCAAGTTTTTATTTTAATATCTCAAAGTTATAATTAATTTTGATACTTCAACAAAAGTTCTTACGATTTTATGTATTACAAATTTACAATAATTAATATTCAAAATAATAATAATAATTTTATTATATAGTAATGACACCATGAATGTATATATTAAGTTTTTTTTTCTTCAAATTTTAAGTTTAGAGTTAAATGATAGTACCACTTATTTGATATTTTAGAATTTTGAACAAATTATTTAAAATTTATTATTCACCAATAAGATTTTTGAGAACAAGGATCATCGGTATTATGTTATAACAAATGGCTAACTTTTTATTAATTTGAATTTTTTTTCTCAAATTATATAATAAGATAGTGACTCTTTATATATAAAATTATAAATTATAAAAACATATGAATATTAATTCTATAATAAAATAATTTTTTGTATTCCTCATAATTAACTACGTACCCCATATATCATGACACTCTTTTTTATGTGAATCTTTTTTTCTTAATCATAAAAGAGAGAAAGGTTTGGTGGTGAAGTAGCTAAAGATGACCTAGTTCTTAAGTAAAGACTATCACCACAATTCCATTTTCACATTACACTCTATGCCCTCACGTGTGGTCCACCAATGGAACAGTGGTAGTCCTAACACTCCCTTCCTTGAAATATTATTGTTTCATTTTAATTTGATTTTTTTATTTTGATTTATGATATTGATTTTGAAATGAATTTGAGTCATATAATTTTAAATTAAATATATGTATTAGGTACAATATATCAAAATATTTTTAATCTTATATTAAATATATGATGCGTAAAGTTAAAACTAAAAGATTATAAAAGAAAATTAGAAACGATTCTTTTTTTAAAAAAAAAATGGAGTAAAAAATAAGTACACAAACAAACGAAATGAAATGATTAATATCACTCAAAAGGATTATGAGCCTGTTTGGCATTGCTGGAGGCCAAAAATGTTTTTTTAATGAAAAATTAAGTATTTTACAAATTTTTAAAATTGCTTTTAAATGGAATCGAAAACAGATTTTTTGAAAAATATTTTTAAAAAAAATATTTCTTTCATTTATAAATATTTACCAATATATCTCTTATAACTAATTAGCATATTTTATTTTTTATTTTTTATTTTTATATAATATTTTTTTAAATTTTATGTTTATATATTATTATTTTATATAATATTTTACGTTTTATTTTACAGAATTAGAAGTAAAGGTAACAACAATATTTTTGTATGATTAAAAATATGAAATATTTTATTTATTTTTGTGGTTAATTTTTCGTGGTTTAATTTGTGGAATGATTTTTAAATTTATTTTGCTTATACTTTTAATTGTATTTAAATCATCATGTTAATATTATATTAATATTTAATTTATTGATTTATTTATTTATAATATTGATTGATTGAAAATTTGAATATATACATTTTAATTAGTTTTTTTTTGTAATAGATGTTTAAAATGATTCCTCTCTAATAAAATAATCTTAATATTAAAACTACATTGATACTTACTATTTTTCATAATTTGACTCTCAAAAGCTTTTTTAAAAAAAGACTAGCCAAACACAAGTTGCTTATCAAAAATACTTTTCAACTAAATTAGCCAAACATAAATTGCATTTTTTCCAAAACACTTTTTAGAAAAACTATTTTGAAAAAACTTCTAAAAATAAGCAGTTTTTAACCGCAATGCTTTTGTTTTCCATTTCGCATAAAGACATTTTAACAATTACTATTATTTTAATGTAAAGAAAATTAGCAAATAGCTAGCTTTTTTTAAAGCCATAATTTTCCCTGATCAACATCCAATATTTCAGCTGTTTGCTTGTCCCCTTCAAACGCAAATAAACCCCCCCTCTCCTTTCTCTTCTTCTTCTTCCACCTCTCTCTCTCTCTCTCTCTTCACTCTCCCAAATATTTTCCTCTCACACCAAAAACACACACTCATTTCACACATTCCTCTTTTAGCTCCTCTTTTTTTTTTGAAATAATTTCTAATGGAAACACCTGAATTGTTTCAAACAGGTTACTATAACACCGAATTCACTTCCGAAAAGCAGCTCATTTCTGATGTAAAAAATGGTGAACATTTCGTTGTTGACGATCTTTTGGACTTGCCTAATGATGATGGAATGGTCACCGAAGACACGTTGGACCTTACAGTTATAGGAAACTCCACGGATTGTTCCGTCGTAGATAATTCATGTAACTCCTCATTGTCCGGAAGCAATCACCCCCCACAATTACTCGGCTACCGGGATTTTCCCGATGGACACTTGTCCACTGAATTCGCCGTTCCAGTAAGCACAATTTTCATGTAATTTCGTACGGTTTTAGTTTTAATTTGTTGTTTTTGCTTTATAAATAAAAGAACTGAGAAAAAGTAGTCACTACATAGGTAACTCTTTAATGCTTTTGTGAGGAATTTTGTATAATATAGCTTTTGTTTTGTTCTAGAAAAGAAAAGAAATGGAGTAGTATTTACTTTTCTTGTTTGGTTGCTGAATACAAATTAAAGATAAAGAAAATTCATGCATTTTTTGTTTCGTCTAAAATGAATTTAACGTGAAAAATAATTATTGTATTATATTTGCCATTAGAATTGGTGCCTATTGTCCCCAAATTATGAGACCACTAGTTTCAAGAGACCATAATTCAAACCATTACGACAAGAATAAGTGAATATATTGAGTGTAAATTCATGAGTAAGATTTGAATAATGTAGAGTGTATGTAAATCTTACTCCTACTTTATAGATAAAGAGACTATTTCTGATTAAATTATTTTTTTAAAAAAAAATTGTTACTAATTAAATTGTTGTTGATTTTTTTATAAAAAAATGCAGTATGAAGATATGGCTGAGCTGGAATGGCTATCGAATTTTGTGGAAGAATCATTTTCAAGTAACGAGCTGCATAAAATGCAGATGGTGCAAGCAATGAGGAATCGAACTGATTCTGAGATTCACCAATTCATTCCTGACCCGAACCGAGCATCTGCAACGTCTAGCACAATCTTCAAGCCGGAAATGCCTGTCCCAGCCAAAGCACGTAGCAAACGATCGCGAATGGCTCCAGGAAACTGGGCCTCTCGCTTGCTAGTTGTGTCTCCCAACACTACAACCCCGGATTCCTCGATGGACACGATATCAATGCAAGACATGTCATCGTCATCAGAGTCCGGGATGATAATCCCGAGCTCTGGGAAGAAGACAGTGAAGTCTTCTTCTACTCCGAAAAAGAAAGAGAGTAATATCCATCATGTTCCAAGTAACAATAATGGTAGCAATAGTGAAGGAAGGAAGTGTCTTCATTGTGCTACTGATAAGACACCGCAATGGAGGACAGGACCATTGGGTCCTAAAACACTTTGCAATGCTTGTGGTGTAAGGTACAAGTCTGGACGTCTCGTCCCTGAATATCGACCTGCTGCTAGCCCTACTTTTATGCTCACTAAACACTCTAATTCTCACCGCAAAGTGCTTGAGATTCGGAGGCAAAAGGAAGTTACTCAGGTTGAACACCAACACCAACACCAATTCCTTCCTCATAACATGATGTTCGATGTATCCAATGCCGATGATTACTTGATTCATCAACATATGGGGCCAGATTTTCGGCAGCTAATCTAGTGATCATCAATGGTACCAGTGTAGGAGTTTGTTTTCTCATATTGAGTTTTGAATTTCCTAATTGTTTTTACTAGGACTAGATTCCTAACTTATCGAATTTTGTAGCGTTGTCATAGAAATTAAAAAAACGAAATTAAAGGAAAGGAAAGGTGAGAGACTACAAGAGTAAAAAAGAATGAGCAATACAAGTAGAAGGTGTAGGGTCTAGTGTCCCAAGTTTATGTTACTTTTGCCAAAAAATTGGCAATTTCATGGAACCAATTTTTCCTAATACACAAACTTGCTTTAGATCTCTTTGTTATTGCACCTTTTTTCGTTTACATTTGTTCTAATTTTCTTTTATCATGCCTAATATAATTCTTGACTGATTTATTTTCTATTAGGCAATAAGGAAAATGAGGGGATAAAATAAAAAGAAGCATAATTATTAATTATTATCTTAACTTGCATGAGAAATGACTTCTAAAATGAATGGTTTGTTTAGTGCAAGGAAACGTCGAATTGTAGGTTTTTGAACTTTTTATTCTAAATTCAACTAGAATTTATTTGTTTTTTCATTGTATTACTTATTATTGCAAAAGTAATTCCATTTCTTCGCTTATCGTTTGGTAAGTGAAGGTCGATATAGTCATATAATCCTATCTCTTTTAACGAGTCTAATGAGGTTAGGTACTCATCATAATTGATTTAGTAAATGTATTGCATTTTATTCTAATTTAAATGCAATACATTAGGGGGTGTTCGGTATGAAGGAAAATGTTAATAATATTTAGAAAATAATTTTTGAAAAACAACTGATTTATTTTATGTTGTTTAGTTAGTAAGAAAAATCTGTTGCTCAAAGAGCTTTTAGGTATAATCCGAGAAAATTATATGACACCGGATTTGAATCCCCACCCTTTAACACAGACTCGAACCCCTTCCCCAACCCCGACCTGGAACCCCAGCTCTGAATCCCAACCCTGACTTTGACCTCGGTCAGGGATTCGACTTCCCGACCATAACCTAGGACCCAACTCTCGACTCTAACCCCAACCTGAGACCCTACTTCTGACCCTGACCTTGAACTCGAGACTTGCTAGCTCCCTACCCTGATCCAGGACTCGATCTTGACCCCGATTCGAGATCTAACTCCCGACCCCAACCTAAGACCCGAATCTAAACTCCGACCCAAGACTTGATTTCCGACCCTGACTCAAGACTCAACGTCCGACTTGGTACCCAATCAACTCTCAATTTCGATCTTGACTCGAGACCTGACTCCTACCGAGACCAACCTGACTTTCGACCCCAATTTGGGACCTAACCCTAACTCGGGACCCAAACCCCGATTAGGGGCCGACCTCGACCCCAATATGTAGTGAGGTTGAAAGAGAGTTTTGGAAAGTATTTCTTTACTTTATGTAGAAAAGTCATTTTTTCTTAAATTGAAGAAAAATAAGTTTATTTTTGAAAAATATTTAAGCAAACTAAATATGAGAAAATTGAAAAACGTTTTGTTTTTCCTCATACCAAATACACCTTACAAGAATTCCCCTTTTCACGTAAAATTCTAATATTCAATTAAAGTACATATATATTCATTTATTTACAAAAGACATAGTGTGAAAATCTATAATTGAAAACATAAAGTAATATATATGCATATTTATTTTGACTTATTAATTCTTAAAATTAACTATTTAGTCAAGCAATTTCAGTATATAGTGCCATAACAAGAAACATTTTTTTTCCTTTTCATTGGGATGGTAAAAACATGAATTTCAGCAAAAGAAAAGTAGAATTAAGAAGATGTTGTAGTAGTATGTGCTTAATTATTTTACAGAGAATGTTAGAGGAAAAGCACATCCCAAGTTCATATATATACATCAATGTTAGTATAATTTAACCCATATAAACATTGGAGGTTCATCCTCCTTTTGTACATCGTTATTTGTTCCACTATACACTATGCTTTTTCCATAGAATATCCATTTAACATATCTTTTATGCACAGAATTCAATACTCACTCCATCCCCAACTTCAACCCAAGAGACAAGAGTAGTTAAATTACAGAAATTTGAAAAAAAAAACTAAAAAAAAAACTATACTATACTACGTAATAAAATATTTAGGTGGACGTGCCTACTTTCATGCACACCATGTGAGATTCTTTAATTTACTATTTTCTTAAACAAGTTAATGATGGAAAATGAGAGAAGGATCCAGAGTCAAAATAATTAAGGCCAGTGTAATATTAACAAAGTCCGTCTAACTCCAAAAATATGGGATGTAATCAGAAATTTCGTTAAGGACGTTTAAGATTTAATAAATATATGTATGAAAAATAATTTTTGACTTGTATATATAGTTCGTACAATTTTCTATATATATAATTTTTCGACGAAGGGTGTCCTGCCATTATGTGGCTATGCCATTGAACGGAGCACTACTACACTAAAAATAATTTTTAGTAATAATTAATTAATAACAATAATTTAATTGTCATTGAATATGTTTTTTTAGAGGCAATTATTAGTGACAATTACATTTTAGCATTTTTTGTAAATGTCCCTAAAGCCTATAATGATACTGGATCCAATGACAAATAACTAATTTTAACATTTTGTTATTAATATTTATATTTATTGTAGCTAAAAATTGTTTTTATTGTAGTGATGAGACTATTAATATTGTATGTGGGATCCTAGGCCTAGCTGATCCATAGGAATCAAACTTTATAATCTTAACTGAAGTACTACTAATTACCAAATATTTTCCACCAATTTCATTGTGGTTTAATAATAATTTAAGTGTAATTACTTGAATAAAATGGTCTGCCAAACCTCAGTAATTCACATGGTGTTTGGTGCTTGTTTAACCTGTTTCTCATTATGGTGTCAAAAATTTAATTAATTAATTATGTCAAATAAAAAATAAAAAGTTGCTGCAGGAGTTGTTACAGAAGCAGTGGTATAGCAATTGATTCTTATTATTTAAGAATATTTTGCAGCTGTGAATCAACTAATCAAATTAAACAACTAATTTCACTTTTTTTTTTCTTCTTAAAATGTAATTTATATCAGTAGTCACATGCCTCTCTTGTGCCTCATCCTGCACTTTTATTATTTTTATTCAATTAATAAAGTTCTCTTTTATATTTTGTTAATTAGTGCAGCATTTGATACTAGTCTAAGGCTATTAGCTAGCTATATCATTAGTTAATTTAAAGGCGTAGCCAGAATTTAAAGTTAATAATTTTAAATTTTGTGTGTTTAATATAAAGGAAAATGTTTTCTTGAAGGGTTTCTTACTTATTTTTTAATGTTTGGTAAGTAAGAAAGAAAATATTATCCCAAGAACATTTTTATACGTTATTTAGCAAAATACTATGAAGATAGAATGGAATGGAGAGTGGCCGTTGGGGGATGGCCGAGGGTGGGATGGTCAAGGGGCCGGTGGGGGTTAGGAGGATTGGGTGGGTGAAAGGATACAATAAACTTGAAATGTCACTTCGTTTTTCCTACTTCTATTAGGAAAGTCATTTTCCTCATTTTTGAGGAACATGTTTTCCTAAAGAAAATATTTTTCAAACATTTTGACCAACTGTACATAGAAAACTTGAAAAATATTTCCTTCCATACCAAACATATTCAGCCTGGATTGTAAATTAATAATTTGTATATATTGCATGAATTTTAAAAATAAATATAAAATTTCAATTAGAACTATTGAGTTCGATTAAATTCGTAGTTGATGCTTTCCCTCCCACCATGCCTCAAGTTTTACACTTATTGAAAGGCATAATCTATAAGTAGGGATATATGCATGAACCTATATATGGTTATTGTAATGTGTAGTATTGTACTTTCACTAACAAATGAACATTTTAGCTTCTCCACAACAAACTTTTATATATAATTATTTTTTTTAAAATGTAATGGTACGACACATATATAATATACAAATTAAAGTATATTAGTTACTTCACATTCAAGAGCTTTCTCTAAATTTGCTCCCTCTCTTTATCCTATATACCTAGGTCCTTGTATAACATAGTAATTGTTCTTTAGCTGAATTTAATCTTTTTTAGGGTAGGCCTTTTGAATTGATTGTCTTAAGATGATGAAGACATCGCATATTTTAAGTCATATTTAGTCTTTTTTTCATTTTTTCAATCTTTAGTACAAATCAAATCATATGATTTCTGTATGTATGCACTAAAGAGTTAAATCTCTTTGGTAAACAAATAAAAAGTAAATAGAAGAATACTATTAAATTATAATTAAATATAAAATTTAATCAGTCAACATATATCATACATGTATAAGTTTGTGTAAACATAGATTTATTTCCCCTGATCAAACTAAATCAATTAATTAATGGGATACCTCGACAATACCAGCAAATTAAGACATTGAAAAATGGTTCACTTAATTAGAGTAAGAGCAATAATCACGTAGTTACATTATTAGGTAAATCTTCAACGTTACTCTTTAAGTACTTTTCTCCGGTACTTCAAAAAGATTTTCGTTTTTATTTGTGCTTTTAATATATCAAGAAAATGTAATTATATTTTTTTATTTACACTCAACATTAATTATTTGTCTCCTAAATCATTTCTGAAAACATTAGATTACATATCAATTAATATGAATATTATGAGATAAAATATTTATATTAATCATTGTTTTTCAAGGAGCGTACAAAATTCAAAATAATCAATAAAAATGAACGAAAAACATAGATAGATAGCTTGAATAAATAAATAAAAGTAGTTTAATTAATTCAAAATTCTGAATTGACCCCTAGCTAGTGTGGTGCCAAGTGAGTTAGTGTTCCATATTCTAGGAACAATGCTATTAAGGCAAATGGTAAAACATACAACGATACTAGGGATACTTCATTTTAAATATTTAAGAACTAACATTTCATAATTTAAATATTTAATAAATAAAATATAAATAATTTAGATAGGCGTACAAAATTTTTAAAAAAAATGTAGTTTTTCTTCGTGCTTTTTTATAAAAAATATTTTAATTTACTTGTTAAAATTTCTGACTTCGCGCTAGTATGCTCAACCGTGGGATTGTATAGATATATGGGCTCCCATGCATGGGGAATATTTCATCGTTGAATGAAGATGATTTTTTGTCTTCATTTTAGTACAACGTCATATCTCTGGACAATGACTTGGCTCCTACTTTTTTAATTATTCTTTTAACATGGTAAGTTAGTGCTAAACCACAACTTTTACAAATTATCCACCATCTCCCCC